CTCCTGACACCAGATGTTTTCAGTAACTGCTCAGCTACAAGTTGCCTGGGGGAACTCAGCTTCACACAGCGTTCATGTCCTACCTGGTCAGTGCTGGGTACCACCAGCAACTGCCCCAGCACAGAGTAGAGCCCCTTCAAAGAACAATTCTGTGTATATAGACCATGAACTCCCACAGGAGTTCACCAAACCCAAAGAGAGTACTACATGGAAGCTCTCAAGCCCATGTGGATGACATCTGAAATCAGTAAACTGGGATGGATGAGTGCTTCCTGAAGAGATTGATAGGGAAACACTCTGCTAGTCCATGTGCAGCATCCCCAAGAGTGAGGCACTGCATGACTTGGACAGAGCTGGCAGGAGGCAGCAAAAGTGCTGATGGGCAACACAGCCCAGCTGCCAAAACCTGCACCAGCACTAAACACTGAGAGCATGAAAAAGAGTCGATTTGGCTCTGCTCTGAAAGACAAGGATTTGTGAATACCCAGGGACCAGAAGTATGGTGAGCAGGGAGCGTGATGATGCTCAAGCATTGAGGATGCTCAGGAGAGAAAGAAACCAAACAGGAACTGAATATAAATGACTAGTAACTGTCCAGAAAACAGCTTATCAACAAGGGTAGAAGGTGAAAGAGCAGCATTATTTCACTGTAGAAGTTACCCACTGAACCCAGAAGCCCTAAATACCCCCAGCTTTTGTTTAAATTAGTGCTTATCCTCTGCTTTTACCTGGCAACATTCAGAGCAACAAGGAAATTGTCACAGCACTGAAATGGGAGGAAGGCAAAGACGTGCCCAAGTTAAGACTGGCCTTTTAGGAAGGCCAACAAGCCAGGTCTGGAAATGCCACATGTGCTCATTAAGAACCTTTTCATATTGTACCTGTTTCTTTTTCACACGGGTCTAGGCTGGGAGGAGATAATGGCTGGGGGCGGGGGGAAGAGGAGTTTTCCTTTGGTTAGGAGAGTAGCTGAAGTGAACTGTGTTGAACAGCCTCATTACCCAGGGCTCCCTCATCTCCAGTTTTGCAGTCAGTGATTGAACTTGCTCTTTGTTTAACGAACTATCTGCAGGAATGATCTGTGGATATCCTGGTCAGCAAGTCTAAGGAAAGATCACAATCATAGGGCCAAATGCTATGATACAAAACAAATGTCAGATAAACCCCACTAGAAAAACCTCTGCATATTGCACACAAGTGCTTTCATCTGCAAGACATGTGCTTGGCCATTTAGATGGGTCATAGCAACTCCCCACATTTCCATGGGGAAAAATCCACGCATGTTCCAGAGTCCAAAGGCCAAAACCTTTGTTTAGTTCCCTTTGTTAGATAAATGATGAGCATTTTTGCTTTTAAGTATAGATAGAAATGTATTTATGGGAGGCAGCACCTGCTCCATTGGCCCTGTCCCTCTATACCTGCAATGCTGATTCATGGAGGCCAACACAAAGAGTACCTGGGTGTGCATCCAGAGAACCACAGAATCACAGAAAATGCTGAGTTGGAAGGGACTAACAGGGGTCAAGTCCACCTCCCAATCCTGCACAGAACCATCCCCAAGAGACACACCATGTGCCTGAGAGTATTGTTCAAACACTTCTTGAACTCTGTCAGAGTTGGCACTGATCACTTCCCTGGGGATCCTGTTCCAGTGTCCAACCACCCTCTGGAGGAAGAAACTCTAATATCCAATATAAGCCTCTCCTGACACAACTTCAGGCCATTCCCCTGGTCCTGTCACTGGTCACCATGGAGAAGAGATCAGTGCCTGCTGCTCCTCTTCCCCTCATGAGGAAGTTGGAACTGCAATGAGGTCTCCCCTCAGTCTCCTCTCCTCCAGGATGAATGGACCAAGTGCCCTCAGCCGCTCCTCATATGGCTTCCCCTCAAGGCCTTGAGGAAGCTTATTAACAGCTTAATATCTTTCTTATATTGTGGTACCCAAAACTGCCACAATGTTCCAGGTGAGGCTGCCCCAGTGCAGAGCACAGCGAGACAATCCCCTCCCTCGATCAGCTGGCAATGCTTTGCCTGATGCCCCCCAGGACAGGGTTGGCCCTCCTGGCTGCCAGGGCACTGCTGACTCATATTCAACTTGCCATTGACCAGGACCCCCAGTTCCCTTTCCGTGGCACTGCTTTCCAGCCTCTCATTCCCCAGTCTGAACATCCAGGTTTGCGCTACCCCAGGTAAAGAATCTGATACTTCCCCTTGCTGAACTTCATATGGTTGGTGATTATCCAGTCCTCTAATTTGTAGTATCTCTTCCAGTTCTGCATCCAAGTCATTTATGAAGGGCTTAAGAAGGAGCCTTGTGGAACCCCACTAGTGACAGGTCACCAGTCTGATGTCACCCCATTCACTATTACCCTTTGAGCTCAACCCATGAGCCAATTGCTCACCCACCACATGATGTGTCTATCCAGCTGTGGGTTGGACATTTTGTCCAGGATACTGTCAGAGACAGTATCAAAAGCTTTACTGAAATTCCAAAAGATTACATCAACTGACTTCCCTTGATCAACCAGGTGGTTTACCTTGTCATAAAAGGAAATCAGGTTTGATAAGCAGGACTTTCCTCTCATGAATCTCTGCTGGCTGTGACCAATGACTGCATTGTCTTTCAGGTGTTTTTCAGTACCTCCCAGAATAATCTTTTCCATAACTTTTCCAGGCACTGAAGTGAGACTGACAGGTCTGTAGTTTCCAGGGTCCTCCTTCTTGCCCTTCATAAAAAAATCGAGACAACATTCACCATCTTCAGTTGTCAACTTTCACACAGTGCTTGGCTGTTCACAGTGCTGTCCCAACTCCTGTGGCCACTGTTGAGGTGCAATGACCCCAGCACTATCAGTTGTTTCACAGGACACTTGTGAATGAGGTGAGAATCATTAACACCGCTTTACAAGCAGCAGTGTTTCTTGCCCAATGGCTTACAGGTGTCCCTTGAGGAATGGGTAAATAATGTTATTTACCTTTACTAACAAAACTCCTACAACACAAAACTGGAGCACAGCTTTCATGAAATCTTGCAGTTACTTCATGTTCCAGTCCAAGCACATATGGAGGGTCTCAGCCTGTGGTGGCTTGGTGGGAGCCTGCAGGACAGAAAGGCAGCCTGCACCCAGCCAGAGGCTTTGGCATGCAACACAGGTGCTCCAAGATGCTCAAAACAAGAACCTCTTATTTCCTTCCCTTCCTAGCAGAAAGTTCCTGGCAGAAACCTCTGCCATTGCTCAGTGAGACCAAAGCTGGGGCAGGGGACATGTTCCAAAGGCAAACATCAGCCACCAGGGTTTGGCGTACAAGAGAGTTAGATCCTTCTTCTGGCATGGGCCTGGGCACAAGAGGGGTGTGGGAGGGCAGGCCCAGTGTGTGAGAACAACTCTGCACTATTTTTCAGAAGGAAAGGCTGTGAGTAAAAGCAGCAATTCACTCCTCAGCCTCTCAGCACTGAAATAAATATACATATATATATATATATAATACACAGGTACCAGTTTGTGGAGCTTGGATTCATTAGGAATAATCTCAAAATCTGGAAACTGGCCACCAAAAAAAACAGCCTGGGCACTGAAATGTTGCATTTCTCCCCCCAGATGAAATACAAAAGCCTAGCAGGGTGGGCACACGAGTGTAGTAGGTTCCTGGGTACAAGGCTGATAAACAGTCATGAAGACTGAAAACTGGAGAAATAGATTGCAAGCAATATATAAGGTCAAATCACAGTGCAGTAGCACTAGGAGAAGACATCCAAGAGGAGTTTGTGTGAAATTTCTGGATTGTTCACTGTAGGTTTGAGATACCAAAACTGCTGCAAACTTGGGCTGCATGGGACAGACTGAATACTACAGGATCTCACTGCTGGTATCAGATGGAAAACATCCTCTTTGTGGGACAATATATGCATAAAAGCACAGCTTGTTGTATAACTCAGTTTTACATATGCATAAACATATACACTTTTTTTTTTTAAAGACACTGTTCCATTGCCACCACTGTATGAATCTGTAAATTTTCTGCAGAGGCAGTAGGACTGCACTGAAAATGAGTGATACTCTCTAGATGCCATATAAACAATATACACCCACGCACTCAGGGAGCATGGGCAACACCAAATACCTGTTCAAGCACTAAAAACCACTTCCGTGGGCATTTCTTCAGGATATCATGGTGGCCTGTGGGAGTGATTCAGTGAGATGCTAATACTGCTTATGCTTAGCATCTGGATCCATTTCAGGTGTAACATTTACACAGACAAAAAGTAAAAAAAAAAAAAAAGAAAAGAAAGAAAAAAGAATATTAAGTTTGTACCTTTTTTTTTTTACTCCAGGCTTGAAGAACCTGTCAGTCACAGCCATGAATCACATAAAAACAAAACTAATTCTACAATAAATTTCTGTTTCCCGTAAGAGAAAAAACACACATGCTGATATGAAACACTGTGGGAATATTCCAGCTGCCTCAGTCAGACACTGAATTCAGACCTGTCAGCTCTGTGGTACTCAGGTTGTACACGGTGTTTGCTTGAAAATATCACTCTTCAGCCACATCCTGGCTCCCTGCTGTCTCCATTCCCCAAGGTTTAGCTTATAAGGTAGAAAAAGTGCAGGCACCGGCTTCGAGCAGCAGTTCCTACAGACCACCTTTCAGAAGTCTGGGTGACTGCTGAGGTGATCATTGCATCTCAGTGCCCTGCTCAGAGGAGAGAGACTGGGAAAGCTGTACATTCAGGGCTGGGAGCACCCCAGCAGCCAGGTGAAACTACCACCCTGATTTCCAGACAAACACCTGTCAAACAACAGCAAACACCGCTGCTCGAGTTCCTGGGAACCCAGGGTGTCTCAAGTGTATTTCAGACTGTTAAAGCGTTAGTAAAGGGTTTTGCTTCCCTGAAGAGGGCTCTCCGTCTCAGTTTATATAAACAGCGTGGTGGTTTTACAATATCAGGAAGGGAAAAAAAAAAAGAAACCAACAAACCAAAACAAGACAGACGATACCTGTTGTAACTCCATCTACTGTAAGACATGTTCCTGTTGCTGCTGACACTATCCATCTCCGGCTCAGCTACAGCACTTCCAGCATTGTTCGTCTCCCGCAGGCACCGGCTGCTGGGCTTGGAATTCAAACACCTTTCTGCAGACGGGCCCGCCGTGGGGATGCGGGCAGACGCCTCCGGCCTTCCGCGGCAGGACCGAAATTCACCGCGGAGCAGCGGCTTCGCATCCAGCTCTGGATGCTCGGAGCAAACCACTGTCAGCGCAGGGAGGGAGAGAGGGAGGGATGAAGAGAGGGGGAGGCTCCTGGGGTCCCTGCCGAGGGGAGCCGGCGGCAGGATGCTCTCAGCCGCCCGGCAGACACGAAGACGCTCAGGTAATAAACTGGAGCAAGGGTGCTAAGCTGCTTAAGAGATATTCAGCGAGCCTGTGCTGAGGAGTGCAGCAGCTTGTGCGCCTCCTGCTCCAGCACACACGCCTTATTTATTTATTTATTCTGGTTGCCACAGATACGGGTCCAGCGCTCTGACATCAGCCGCCTCCCACCCACCACCAGTCCCTGGGTCTCACCAACATGATCTCCAGGCAGGCACCGATCACATCCCTGCATGTGGGGTCAGCGCTGGGAGCCAGCTGCGTTCACGCAGCTCCATGGGATCATCTCCCCTCCCGGGGCATGGCCTTGCCACTCATCCTCCCGCAGCATTCTCTGCAGCCCCTGTGCCTGGCAAGTGGGTGTACAGGCTTCTCCAGGGGTCAGAGTTCAGAAAAAAAGCTTTGCACACCCCATTTCAGTCACCGGTTTTCAACAGCCCATGGCCTCAGTTTGCCCCACAGCTGCAGCAGCAACATCACAGCCCTCCAGCCTCAATGTGACCCTGGCCTTGGGTGCAGGACTGAAAGCCAAACGAAAGCACTTCATGGCTCCTGCCCACGTGTCCCTGGTGGTAACCAGCAGTGTTCAGTGCCAGGGCCTGTGCTGAGGACCTGTGGGTCTCTCATTTCTCCTGCCAGCTGCAGGAAGCACAGGGGATGCGATGGTCCCAGGTGCCCACACCTGCCCACTGCTGGGAATCAAATCTTTCCTGCTCATTGAAGATTTTCTGATTAGTTCTGATAACCACAATATGAGGGACTGTGCGAGAGTAGTTCAAACTGAAACACTTTACTAAAACAACAAAACAAAAACAACAACAAACTTTCTTCAAATTAACTTGTGGTTTTCCTTTCATGAAAAGAAAAGTTAAACAGAGCTTGTCCAGTACCCTTGCCTTTTCAAGAGGCTTTATTACAGCTCTGCCTTCAAACTGTGCAGTGGTTTCTTGCATCTCTTCTTAAAATATTTTATTGCTCTGAGCTTCCCAGTGTCAGGAGATTGTGAAGTTTGCATGGCTGTGCAGTGTCAGGATCGTGACCCTCTGCACAGGGTATCCTTCACAAATCCTACCAAAGAGCAAGGCTTACTGATGGTGCTCGGCAGACAGTCCCAGGACAAGGATGTCTGCAGAGTCAGGTGTAGACAGACACAGGTTTGTTTCTCCAGGTGCTGGTTCAGAACTGCCAAGACTTTGTGGTGCACAGCACTGCTCAGGGCACCATGCCCTGCCTGACACTTCCCTCCTGATTTAAGGAACTATCCCTTCTCAATCTCCCATAATACCACAAGCACAGGGGGCTGCCCAGAGGACCTGACCATACCTTGACCAAGACAGATGCTACCAGAAGCAGTGTCAGGTCAGCACAGTCACCCCCGGGGTGACCCAGGATGTCCACACACCATGTGTCTACATACTGCTCTCAAACCTTTCCCAGTCAGTCTTTGGCCTGCATTAGCACCTCCTGGACCCTTTCCTCACTGCTTGGTCACCCAGGTGGCCAGCCCTGGTCTAAGCAGTATGCACTCCCAGCTCCTACATGTAAAATCTCTCAGGAGTAATTACTAAAAATCCCAAGCTTACATAACTATGGACTGGAAGGGACTTGGGTCAATGGGGCTCAATCTCTCATCTCACAAACAACAGTATCTAATGAGTGGTTTGAGGCTGAAGCTCCAGAGGCTGGTAGTGAACAGCTCCTTGAGCTCCACCCTGCCAAGAGACAGAGACTTCCCTTTCCTAGCTCGCAGGTATACACAGACATCTGTTATCCACTTGTTCATGAAATGTCCAGTTCCTTCAGTTCAAGTAAATGAATACCTGTCATCAATCCTTTAATTTCCAGTCTTCATTTTCAGAGGGTGAATAGGCCAAACCCTTCATGCCTTCCCATCAGGATAATAGCCAGCTTAATAGCTTTTTCCATGCACCAGTTTTAACTTAAATCGAACCTTTCCTGAATATGGGTGATATTTGTCAACACTTTCAAATAGGGAAAACATCAAGCAGGTTTCCTTGGAATGGCAATTAAGATGCCCCAACTCAAGTCTTGCTCCTTGTATTTGTATATACCCTGCAAGTCTGTCATCCTAACTTCTGTTACAGATGCTGTTATGCACAGGCAGCACATTTCCATTTATCTTATTTATAATCCACATTGAGTGACTTGAATGAAATGGACCATCTGAAAAGGAGGGAGTTACAGCCCATCTCCTCCACCTACCTGCTCTGCTTACCACTGAGACAACTGTAAATGGGCAAACTGAAACCTCACCATTTACTTGCCTGTTGCATTACTTAGGCCAACATTTTTCACATGGGAGCAGCTGAAAATCACCCTAGTGAGGCCCTGTATCCCAGAAAAGCCTCTGTCAGAAGCAAACACTTCAAGGTACATCAATAAAAGCAAGGAGCACAGGTTGGCTGTTGGACTATGGGCTCTCCTCTCCACACAAGAGAAGAGTAGTTCACTGGCACCTCAGGCTCCTTCTCATCATCCTGGACCAAACCACTGAGGAGAACACCAACCATGGTGGTTCATGCTGAGACCCCCATAATTATCTTGTCCCAGCATGCTGAGGCAGGTGGGCTTTGGGTTGATCCTGCTGACCCTCATGGCAAACACAGCCTTTCCAGACGAGTAACACACCAAACCCAAAGCCCCACATATAAACAGAGTACCATTTCTGCAGAGCAGTGCTTGGAGGATTGGCCTGTGTCTGCCGCAGGGGATCCCTTCACACATGTACTAGGAGAAGAGGTGCTCCAGAATAAAACCAAGTGTGGTCTCCACTGCTCTGCTGCAGGTAAACAATGGTCTAATACTTCTCAGTAAAATACTCTGGACAGTAGATTTAGCTGCCGAGGACATAACTGTCTCCCTGCTTCCTGCATATGGTTGACAAACTCCCTGAATGCAAAAATCTCCCAACTCTTCTGCTCAGGAGTTTCTCAATTCTTGTTTCACTATTTCAAAACAAACACTAATGATTGACAGTGAAGCCTTTGCCTGTGATTAATTGTGATTACCTCCAGCTCTTAGTGCAGAGCTGTGGCTTTCCTCTGCAAGTCTCTCAGCTCCACTTCTGCCCCCCAACCTCACAACCTGCACTGCTGACAGTATCACTTCAAACTTGAAATTTCCAAAGAGGTTTCAGTGGGGAAACTGGGGAATTCATAAGCCAATGCAAGGTGAAGAGACACAAAAATGAGATCCATGCTGGAATTCAGTCAGAAAGATAAATGGTTGCCTTGCCATGTGTTCTGCTCTGCTCCCAGCGCTGCAAGGTTCATGTCACCACGTGTTTGTGCACGGCCACATCTATGCACATCCAAACTGAGTCACATCTGCTCCTTGTTTTGAGAAATTCCCTCTGACCACTGCAGATACAGGGACATCTCAAAACAAGCAGGTTTAATGTGGGGGAAGCAAGGGGCTAGACTTCTGGATTACAACATATGAGTGCTGAAGCATAGAATTTCAGTTCTTAAAATTGTTGAGAGGCTGCCTGACAGTGCCCATCCCAGTGCTAGTTGGGGGAAAGACTGGAACTGGGCACCAAGAAAACACAAAACCTTCCTTTTTTCCAGGTGTTTAGTATACGGCAAGTGACCTTATCACCCAAATTAAAGTGATCTGGAATATTGGCTTGAGCTGTTGAAATACCACAGAAACTGAACTGGCAGCCGGGCTGAAACAAACAGGCTGTTCCTGTATTTCCATGCTGGCACATACCCTGCTGCAAACAAGTGACAAACTACCTGCTGAGTCACTGGATGAAGCCTAACAGGTTTAACAGCAGAAAGTCAAGAACCCTACATAGAACAACTCAGATTAGGTATTCTAGAAATACTCTGAGGTCTAAGTGCACATTTTGGCATGCCCAGAAATAATTTTCCCAGCAAATCATCGTGTTTGTGACCAACCATTTGTTCCATCATTGGGTGTCCGTGGCTGCAGAATCTGCCCCTGCATTACAGTCCAGAGGTGAGCTCTGTAGAGACACAAACAGTGCTCTGCTCTGCCCAGCCAGAAAGGCACTGACCAGAGTATCGACATGGTATCAACTTTCCTGCTCCAAAACCTCAGCACCAGCATGGACCTACTGAGTCGATGAATCACCAGGATCTCCCCTCCTATGAGCAGGATCGCAGCTGCCCCCACCAGGACTGCTCAGGCCGTTTTCCAGCCGCCACCCCAAACAATTCCTCAATGAGATTACGAGTCCTTCAGCAGTGCTAATTAGTGCTTACGCAAGCAAGGATTTCTCCAAGCCCTTGGGGCTGCTGCCTGGAGAGGACGATGCTGCCTGGTCTGCAGGCAGTGCCCAGAGACGGGGACCTGCACAGGAGGAATGGGGCACTAATGCCCTTCCTTTCCCTGCTGCTTCTACAGAGAAGTTCCTCCCTCCCTCCTCCTGAGGGGCTGCCCCGTTGAAACTCCGACCAGTCAGTCTCCAGGTGAGGAGAAGATGAGAACAGAGGAAGGACAGGGGAGATCTGGTCCCCTAAGCACCGTTTTAAGAAAGGGCTTTTTCAGAAAAATCACCATCACATGATGTGAGACACCCACTCCCTCCAGCAGGCAGCCGGGGGACAGTGCCAGGGTGACATTTACGAGTTACCAGAAGGAGACTATTATAACCCAGCCTGTATGTCAGCTCCAAAGTCAGGCTGGATTGAACAGAACAAGTATGTTTTCCTTCAATAACCAGACGCGTTTTAGGACAGCTACAGGAAATCCTCAAAAATCAGCTACAAACCCTTTCACACCTGGCAGA